CAATGTGTGGGGCGAGAAGACATGGCAGGATGTTGTCGACGAGGACGCTGAAGACGACGAAGCACCCGCGAATGGCAAGTGCGAGCACGAGAGTGACGACTCAAGTAGCGACGAAGACGAAGATAGCAGCGAAGACGACGAGCCTAAGCAAAAACGCAAGAAGAGGAGAAAGGGCAAGGGTGGAAAACAGGCCAAGGGGCATGGAATATTGCAGTTTGATGGCTTGGTCTGAACATCACATTAGGTCATGCTATGTGGACATGTGGGCTTGATGACCCGTTATCTAGATCCACGTCTTGGAGACCCAGACGAGGCAGGGACTGAGATTGAATTGAATCCATACCTGCGTAAACATCGCAATGAAATCACCTTTCCATTTCTTTACATGTCAACTTTTACTGGCAGAGCAGCAAGTGTGTTGAACATGTAATACCAACACAAAAGAATGATGGCCCCACTCGTGCAATGCTATAGACAAATATAATTAGGCCGGGTCGTGTTGTGAATGAAATTACAACGAACCCTCATTAAGAGTGATTGCAACCTGACGCCAAGCTGAGCGCTTTATTAGTATATCGATGCGCGCTGGAGCCATCTTTTGAAAATCGGTGTACTTTCCGACGACGGTCTACGTAAGACCTTGGAGATGGAAGAATGGATCTCACCACCTAGTCATGTTACACGCAATCAAATCGCAACTCATCTGCCGTGTATTCACCCATGACATGTTCGAGATAGGAAGTAACCAGTAACCGCAGCTACTCTTGCTGCTATTTTTCTATCTACAATGATCCAAACACCCTCTGTATAAATATGTACACCAGAACGTAAACACCTCCACTCCCTCCTTCCACACCGTGCTAACCACCGCTCTAGCAGGTGAATACGCTCGGCCCGGGGGCAGTGTACGTCTTCTGCCCGCTGTAGAGGTTGTACACGATACCGGCGTCGTTCTGCTTGTACGCACCAGGCAGACTGACCGTCGCGGGAGTCTTGCTCGCCTCGCCGCCGATGATGTTGATTTGTGCGCATTCCTGCATGCATGGTTAGGGATGTGTTCTACGCGCCGTGTATCAGGGAACGGAAGGAACGTACCATGTAGAACTGTGCGCCCATACTCTGGCTGGCAGAGTGCAGAGCAATCAGCTCGCCGCGGAGGAGGTACTGGCCAGGCGCGATGCACTTGGGGATTGTGATTGTTTGAACTCCCTGGTTGGCGATGAGGCGGTCGACACCCCATTTTGAGCCGTCGAAGGCATCTTGATGGATCTGGGGATGGATGTTAGCCACATATCCCGAGGTAGTTGGAATGAATGCGCAGATCGTACCTTGAACCATCCTCCACCAATGCCGCTGTCGGTCTTTGCGTCGGAAACCTTCTTCAGGTAGGCCATGACGGGGCCCTTGTGACTCGCATCAATGACGTCCCCTGGCCCCGATGTGAGAGTATGTCTCCAGGTCAAAGTGGCAGTCGATCCAGCCTGGAGGGTGATGACAGTGCTGGTCTTGGCCGTTGGGTTCGGTCCACCATTGCAGACGATGTCGTTGGACGAGACATCGTTGATGGGGCCATCGTAGGTGGGTACACGGACGCCGTCGCCGACCTTGCCATTGTTGACGGAGACGAAGATGGTGTGCGCAGAGGCAGTGGCGGCGAGGAGAAGGGGCGTCGAGAACTTCATCTCGAATATGTATTTGCAAATCGGCTTGGAGTTGAGAGCTGATTTGAGAGATATCGAGTGCGTTTATAAACACATCAGGAAGCTCGGAAGTCGTTCTTCGCTCCACTCATGAGCTCATCAACCCAGCCCCAAGGTCTCATTCTGGCCAGTTCACAAGGTCGAGGCCGAATGTGGATACCGACATATCTGACTAAAATGGTCAAGCATCGTGGTCGCAAGATTCTTTTTCCTCGTATCCGCCACTCATATCGCGTTGCACAATGGCTTTACTGTACGACCAAAGCAACGATACTGCTTTGATCCCGGAACCGAAACGCCGCGGACGTCGCTGGTAGATTAAGCAATCTAGAAGACGTGTCGAAGGTTCCTTGAGCATGCTAAGCGAGCTTGTTTTAGCCAATGGCTTAGCCGGTGTAGATGAAGCTACCCCAAGAAACCGGGGAAGCTCGACGTCGCGATATGAAGGCGTTGGTAAATGACCTGGTAATCAAGGAGAGGTGGCGCCGAGGCTTGTGGTCGGGGTCGACAAATGTGAGTGGGATGTGGTGTGGTTAGTGGAAGCTAGATGTGATCAGCGATGATGGACGATGGTCCGGGAGGCACTGCCGACATGTTCGCTACCATTTTTTGAAAGCTCCGAAGTGTTGTTCTATGGTTTTTATGATCATAGTAGAGTTACATCTTCGAGGTGCGAGTCTGGCATGTTCATCGCCTCGCCCTTCATGATGCCATGTACATAAGTCTCTCCAAGCAGCTCATATCCTTGACAAGTCCCGTTGTCGTAATATGCTTCGCGCACGACAAACGGCACACATGCCTTTTCGAAAACAACAATCTCGTCGCCCTCACGTGCACCTCTCGGCACCAACGCAAAGTAGCCCCTTTGAGTGACGGCGAAGCGCCGCATCGTGAGAGCTGCTCGGATCGCGGTCCGCAGATCTTCTAGCGTCTTGGCCGGCCTTCTTGTCTGGAGGCTAGCTAGAGTAAAGAATCCTTTCTGACGTCGGGAATTGTACTTCTGTCCGGGTAGGGATGGCATCTTTCCGGTCGTGGAGTCCAGAATAAGGCTGAAAACGTCACTGTGCTCCTCCGTGGGACAAGCAATGCCCGAGCCGTCTCGGCCAGCAACTAGAGTCTGCCAGAAAGCGTCATAGATGGATATGTTGGGCGCTGGATACTCTTCGGGCGTGTATCTCTCTCTGACAAGTTGCACACACGATACCAAACTTGCATTGCCATGTTGTGGTTCGTCGATGTCAAGCGTCGCTTGTTCATTAACATCTCCGAGCAACACGATTGTGTCGAAGACAAGTCCGGACAGTGTGATTCGTTTCTTATCTCCACTCAAGTCGACTGTGGTAGGGTGGGGCGTAGAGATAATGAGCTCACCTATCGCCTTTGAACCGGCATGGTAAAGTGTCCATGCCTTTGTAGAGTAGCCCAAAGCTTCGGTCACGCGGTCAGTGCTCCAGTCGGGCACCCACGAGGGTTTCAAGGGGGTGTCATGATCAACACAGCTTAAGAGCTCATAAATAAGCCCAGGTATCTGCGTCAGACATGCTTCCTCATATATGTCTCTAGCCGTGGTGGCTGCCGAGTAGTCGGGTACTATGTTCGATTCCGAGATACCAAGCACACCATAAACCTTGTCTTTTGCATCGGTAGCTTGCGCGTATCTCGTCCGGACCAGACTGTTCAGCAAATACTCCTGCTCCACCATCGTCAAATTATGCAGGCGAGCAGACTGAAGCGAGTCAATTGTTGCACCGCCCAGGGGAGATCTTCGCCCGTAACAAGTTCCGTCGGTTGGTTTGCACTCAGACGTGTCGGTGGTGCTCAGCCACTGTAGCAGTTTGCTATGCTCAAGGACATAACACCATGCTGCTAAATCATCCCAACTTGCGACCGCCTCGCCACACTTGACGAATAAATTTCTGGAGAGTACGGCTTCCTGTATCGTCCAAAGCCTTGAGAACCAGGGTCGCTGCAGCAAGAGTCGAATCGCACGCCATGATCGGTGGTCGGGAGGAGGAAAGTCGAGCCGGTCGAAATCGCTTGGTGTAATCTCTGCGTCGCTCATTTGTAATCGAGAATGAATATACTCCATCGTGTCAAGCGCTAGAAGTGGTTCCTGGCCATCCTCATCGCCTAGCCAGATGAGCGTGTTTGTAGCATGCGTATAGATCAAGCCCATCAATGGGATTTGCTGCTCTTTCTCCCGTGTGTTCGGTTGATTGATACAAATTTGATCGATCCAGAGGAATATGCTGATCTCAGTGGAGCGAAGAGATCTCAGGGCTGCTGCAAGGCTACGGGTTATCGCGATAGAAGTGTCACCGACTAGAATTGTCTGGTCGAAGATCGGTGTTCCCCAAACGTAGCTCAAGGCCGTGTACCATACTGGCTTGCCGCTCATCGACGACAAAGCATGGTTCGTTTGTCTAGTATAGCTTTGAGTCGCATTGTCCAAAGATTGTGTAGGATACGCGAAATCGACGCTGACGATGTGCAGGCGTCCTTCCAAGGGTGAGCCTAGCACACCGCGGTGAAGCTCTAGAACACGGATTTCACCGTGCGCAAGAGCTGAGTAGATTCCAGTATGTGAGTATTGACCTTTTAGACGCTCGTCATTCTGACTGTTCTTCAGATCCACAAAGTTTTGTATCGCAGCGCGATCCTGCTCATCGAGTGTGCCATACACACCCTCAGGGGCTTCATTGGTCGCAGCCCCAAACGTCGAAGTGGGTGCAATGGTGTCTCTGTTCCATGATAGATAGCAATTGCATTGGTCTGGGCTTGCGGGGTTCGTTAGCCATGCCAATACGCGGTCTACCATACGAAGTGTATCAACCCCGCACCTTTGTTCTTTAGCACGTTTGCGCAGTCGCGGGCATGATCAACAGGGCGATCAATGAAGTGAGGTTTCCAATCTTTGCTTGTCATTGTATTCAATGTGCGACTAGCGATACACTGAGAAAGTGCAAGCCAAGGACGTGCTTTGGGGTCGAGGCAAGACCCTGAGTGTTTGCTATAAGGAAGATGCCTTGGTAGCTCGCAAACGCAGCTCGGATTATTGCAAAATCGGCATAGAAAAAACCTGGGAGATTACTGAGCGCAGGGATGAACTGCTAGGGCAGGGTAACAAAGGAAGATTCACCAGGTAAGCTGAAGATCGACGTTTGAAATCCTCATTGAAGTTTACCTCTCCACCCAAATCACCCATCCCCCCTAAATCTTCAAATGTTCGTAAAACCATCAATACTGATCGCTACAGCGTGCCACAACAGCCAAAAGGAAGAGCAAAGAGCAAAAAACGTGTACTCGTGCCGCGGATCGAACGCGGGACCTTCTGCGCTTCAAATCAATAGAAAACTATAGATGTAAAGCAGACATCATAACCGCTAGACTACACGAGCAGTTTTATGAGTTCTGGAGGTCTATACGGTATATATTGTACGATCTAGAGAGGAAGAGCACAAAGTAGGCTTGTGGTTGGCATACAGAGGCCTTTCCCCTGAACAGATTGCTAGCGTGGAACATGAAGACGTGAGATGACTGATTGGCTACAGACAGTGCCCACAGGTCATACGAAGGTCTCCTCTCTTGCGGAAGCTAGCTATGCTCGAGATCGTCCGTTGCTAGAGCATTTTCTTCCTTATAGATCTCGGGCAGATTTACCCTTGTTCGTGGCTATTTCTACCCTTACAAGTGCTGGAAATCCCTCTACTTCAAGTAACTATTGGGGAAATTTCTCACGCTAGCCAATCCGTTCAGATTTGTGGGGGAGGGGGTCAGCTTGTACAACCCCTGAACGGGTCGTTAGCGCATTTTGCATTTTCAGAACATGAATTATTCAGCATACCAGAAGCTGAATCCGCTAATTGATTGGCTGTATTTCCGAGCATCAGAATATTACGCTAACATCCCGTTCAGGCGGGGGACTGTACCGTGGTAGCTTGCAGTGGGATTGCAATTTTGCGTTGCGGGGCTGAAGTGAACATGTACGGACCTCCGGCTTTTAAGATACAGCTTTGAGGCCATATCACCACGTCAGCATGGCAGATTGAACGACGAACTGGTTATCATGAAGCATTTTTGAGACTTGATCCTGAAGACTGACAGCTATGCTGAAGTATGAACAAGTACGGTCATATGTCCCTTGGATAGGCTTATGTAGCGGGATGAAAGTCCAGCAAACCAATTGCTAGCCGCTTGCATTTGCTTCGATATAACAGACAAATGCTATGATTGAGCAACAGGACACTTTGAAACATTAATTGTTATCATTTTGGTCGACATAAACTTCGACAATCCCCATGACGCTGCACAGCCCTCTTCCTCCGTCTAACTCCGGTCCCCAACCAGACCTCAGGCTGCCATCCTTCCCCAGCCTTACCGTTCCACCTCCACATCCGTGACACGCACAACCGACCATGTCTCAATCCCTCTTCACAAAAGCGCCTCTCCTTCGCGCCGCAGCCCGTCGCTCAATCCCACGCGCCCAGAGCGCATCCTACTCGTCCACCAGCGGCCCCAAGCCCTCGAGCAGCACCCACCTGCGCGCCCTCATCCGACAAACCACCCTCCGCGCCAGCGCATCCACCCTTCAACGCACATCATACACCCTCACCCAACAACACTCGCCATTCTCCACACAGCCATCCGTCCGCGCCCGCTCGCCCAGCCCCCCACCACCCTATACAGCCCGCGGCCACACGGCGCTCGCACCCACGCAATGGACGCGCTTCAACACCCCCTACACACTCTCTTCAGTCCGCACATTCACCGCCTCCCCTTCTAAACCCCTCGCGTCCGAATCCCCCGCCCCCGCCGCCCCGGCTGCCCCGCCGCACGCGCCCGAGGTCCAGGCGCGCATCGACGCCGCCATGGAAGAGATTACAGACCTCTACGGCACCGCCAAGGACGAGTTTGAGATTGCGAGCGAGGAGAGCGAGAAGAATAGCACGTATGCGCCCGACGATCGCGCGGCGGCGAGGGAGGAGCTAGATAAGCTTGTGGCTTATTACGAGGCGATATTGGAGGAGGGGGAAGAGGTTGCCGAGGAGGTGAGGAGGCGGGCGGGAGGTAGGGTGAGGGAGCTGGTCAAGGCGGTGGAGGCGATGGAAGAGGAGGCGATACATGGGGATTAGGAATGAGATTGAAGGTTGCATGCGAAGGTGCTGGACATCGTATGGTCTGAGCTGGTCTGAGCTGGCAGATAAGGCGCTTGAGGGTTGCAGGCGAGACAGCGTCTCGAGTTGGGAGTTGGATCTGTGCAAGATACGGGCGTTTGGTGTTCTATTCTGTCATCTCTTGTGGTTGCATGTTGTGCAGCTGAGGCAGCGAGGAGCTTGGGTGCTTGTGAGCACTGGAGCAGAAAAGGACGGACTGTACATTAGGCATGTACCATATCCTCCAGCATGGGCACGGTGCCAGACACCGATTCCAACCATGGCACATTTTCGTTCTTGAAATATGCTCTACCCAATATTCTAGGATGTAATAATACATATACTTCGATACCCGTCAAACGCCGACCCAATGCATCGCTAGATACTGCGCAAAATAAACTCAAGCTCCCCGCGGCTTCGGCATCGAACTGTTCTTCACACTCCACCCCTGCATCGTCCTCCTCGTCCCCAACGTCTTTCTCTGCGCCGCTTGGTTCTGCACCTGACTCATCGACGTGGTGTGGAAGCTCGATGCGGCGCGGAAGCCTGATGCTGCCGTCGAGGATGACGATTGCTTGATAGGACTTTGGTGCGCCTGCTCTTCTCCACCAGCGCTCTCGGGTCCAAGATCGTGATCAGGCTTTATTGGCGAGCTCGACAGGAGAACATATCTAGTGCTCTCCATATCTGATGGCTCACTACGTTTGGGTTTGCTTGTCATAGGCCGATTCTGAAGCTTATAATTTGGTACGGACAAGGGTTGGAATGGCTTTGGTGGTCGGAAGACGGACGGTTGAACGTTGGAAATGTCGTGCAGTGGCGTAGTGCTGGACATCAGCGATTGGGTGCGCTGTAGTGTCGGCACTTTCAAAGGTACAGGAAGCTCTGTGTCGTCCAATGGCGTGCTGACAGACCTCTTTGTGAAGAAGTTCGTGATGGCACCCTGTCCTGCTGCTCGCGGCTTTATCTTCTTCGCCTGCGGGGGTTTCGCTTCTGCCTTCTTATCTGTTTTGTACGCGGCTTGTCCGCTCTCCGCGTCGTGTGCAGAAGCAAGCATGCGAATGCGCTCTGCTTCTCGCTGCATAATTTGCAAGTCTCCGAGGTCTCGCGCACTCGTAAAGCCTGCATTCGAGTGGTGCATCGTAGTAGACGCGACCGAGAAGCCAGAAGTTTTGTTCATGGTTACAGCGATCGAGTCGTCCGTGTCAAGCCTACGTCGCTTGAGGCCAGACTGTGCCCCGTCATTGATCGCACCGGACCCTCTCGATTTGTCGTGCCACGATGTGCCCCAGCTTGGTTCCTCCCCATCAATCTCCTCTCTAGTCGCGGGATAAAAGTCATCCTCTAAGCGCTCAAGTTGACCGCGTGCGATATTGAGTTCCTCGGTGGTTGGGCAAGGCCGGCGCAAGATTTGTGCTAAATCTGGAATTGTCGTTCGTTTGAAAGCAAGGTCAGGCCCTCGCTGGCTGAAGTGCTTCTGCACACTACGCTCCGAGATGAATCTCGAAAGTGTAGTCTTCTCCTGCCCGGACTGCAAGAGTGGGCAGCTGAGATAGAGGAAACCTTGCGCTCGTGTCATGCCAACGTAGAGCAAACGCCTTTCCTCGTCGTGATCTTCGGCTCTAGAGTGAGGAATCGACCCATCATACAAAGCTGGCAAGAACACAATGGGCCACTCAAGCCCTTTAGCGGCGTGTATGGTGGAGATGGTGACCTGGTCTACTTCGCCTCCATCTTGATCAGTGATGCTAGACAATGTGACGTTCGCCAGGAATTTTGAGAGAATATCAGCTCCCGTATCAGATCGTTGCTCAAGGCCATCGACCACGGGCAAAGCGTCGTCCGTGATCTCCTCACCACTGGCCATGGCTGTTGCCATTTGTGTTGCCTGAGCTACAAGCTCCTCTACATTCGCCCATCGGTCCTGCCAATTGTCCTTGTGCGCTTGTTTCAGGTATGTTTGGAAGCTGATTTTCTGCAAGATATGGCCAATAAGGTCGTAAAGGTTGCAATTCTCGCCATCGGCTGGTATGAGCTTTTCGCGTGCGGTAAGTATCACGTTCACGAACTGATCGATCCCTTTTTGAGCCTGGGCAGAGACTTTGTACTCAGGTCGTCTTCGCCCCTGCGCTGTGTCGAGGACCATCTTCCATAGGGTGACCTTCTTGACTTCAGCCTCCTCAAGGAGTGCTTTTATGGTGGTCTCGCCAACTTTTCGGGAGGGCAGGTTGATCACACGTGCAACTGCATCGTTGTGTTCCGGTTGACTGACTACACGTAGGTAGTCCAAGACGATCTTAATCTCAGCACGGTCGAAGAACTTGGTTCCAGCCACCATCCGATATGGCACCCCGGCCTGTCCCAAAGCCCTTTCCAGCTGCAGAGATAAATTGCTAGATCGAAGCAAGATGGCATAATCGTTGTACTTGAGTAGGCCAGCTGCAAGCGTCTTCGTTCGGACGATTTCTCCAACGGTCCATTTTGCCTCCACATTTGCGGATAGGAGATGACGAAGTGTTGGTGGCTCTCCGACGCTGTGCGTTGCGATCAAGGCCTTCTGCGGACGACTCTCGTCCTGCTCAATGACAGCCAGTGCAGAGTTTAGTATGCACCCTGACGACCGGTAGTTGTTCTCCAGATTAATGACGACCGACTCCGGATACTCGTCCCTCATGCGAAACAAATTTTTGATCTCAGCGGCGCGAAAACTGTAGATGCTCTGGTCTGGATCACCAACAATTGTTATTCGTCGCGCATATTGTGCCAGTAGTTTCATCAGCTCGTATTGGATGTTGTTGGTATCCTGGTACTCATCGATGAGTACAGCCTGGATGGTGGACACGCAAGATGGCTGCTTCTTCAGCAGCTCGACGCATCGCACAAGAAGATCATCGTAGTCCAATAGATTTGAAGCCTTAAGGTGTTCTTCGTAAGATGAGTATAGCATGGCAAACTCATTGTCGTTGACTTTTTTGGACGTGGCGCGAAAGTCGTCCGCTGAAACACCCTTGGATTTCAGGCTCGATATCCTTGAACGGGCATGGCTAGGCTCGACTGTATACTGATAGCGAGTGATAATGCGTTTGAGTATTGCTTTGCTGTCGTTGGTGTCTGCGATGCCGAAATTCTTCTCGATCCCGATCTCATGGCCATATCGGGATAGAAAGCGTCGAGCGACGGAATGAAAAGTCCCAAGTAAAAGCTTCGCTTCGAGTTTGTCACCGACAAAGCCTTTGATGCGTTCT